TTTAATTTTTTAAAAGTTATTTTAATTGGGGGGGGGTTGTTGGGCGGGTTACGAATTACAGGATTTTCAATGCATTCCTATGGACACCGTCCCAATACGGATTAATTCCATAGGTTGAGGGTCCACTGTATATGCAGTCACTACTAAAATGTGTCACTGAAACAGAAATATTCATCGAACATTGGAGTAAAATATTTGTTAAAGTGATAAAAATACAACATTTCATTTAAAATACAAATCACTCCCTTTCTCTTGCTTCTTACTGGAGGCTGTACCATAATTATAGGCTCATCATCAAAAATTAGTTCTCCGATGACTTTTTTCTCCGCCCTCCACACTAAACATTTCTATCTTTTGGGAGGGTCCTAGTCATACTTTTATCCATTGAAATATAACACTTTACTCTCAATAACTTTGAGACAAATTGCAAGCACAATGCAGAATACATTGCTACTCTGGTCATACTTTACAATGAAATCAAAACAAAAGCAACTCTGCATCTAAAATAAGATCTGTTTCTCTAGAACAAAATGGTGAAAGTATTTCAGAAGCGTTTAAAACGAAAGAAGTAAAAATCGAACAACTGGAGCGAGAGTTATTCTTCTATAAGAAAAGCAGCCGAGAATTAAAGAAGAAATTAAAGGAACTGGTGGGAGAATCAGCGCGCCATATCCAGTCACACAGTAAATCTATGAGTATTAAAACTATAAATCATATATATCTGACATGTAACTGAAGTCTTAATGGAGTTGTAGCATTGTGATTTTGTATTTAGATATGGGCAATCCAGAAGGTGTATTAGCTTTCAGCTTCCTTTACACATGATAATCTTTTTTTGTGGGGGGGAATGTTTAAGCCTTCGCTCATCATCCTTAGGTTTTGGGTGAATAAAACGACACATTTATCTTTTCCAAATCATTCCTTGGCTTGGATCTGAACTTCAGGAAGAGGTCATGTTCACTTATTTCCTTCAGTGCCCCTGGCTTCTGAACCTAATGGGAGATTATGAATGTGGGCAAGGGAGCTTTACTGAAAATGGTGGAAATAATTCCTTCTCATTTTGCTCCCAGCAGGAGCCTTCTCTGAATTGATGCGCTTGTTGATGCATTTGTATGAATTGAAGAACTGCCTAAATTTTTGAAAGCTTGTTGTTGTTAACATTATTATTTCTTGCCAATACATTCAGGATATTTTTAAAATGAAAATAGTTGAACAGAGTACAAGTTGTAACATTGTGTAACAGGGAGGGAAAACCGTATAAAAGTTATCTCAAAGAATCTAATCCAATTGCTTCTTTTAGGTTCTACTGATGGGATACTGCACCGAGAAGAAGCAAGTGCCTTGTCAGAAGAACTTGAAAGGACACCAGAATCAATAGAGATTGAAAAAGAAACAAATCTATCAGTAAATGTTTTTGGAGGACAGAAAACGTGGCACAAGTTTGAAGACGAAGCTGTAGAACTAGTATCTAATACAACAAATAATAAGGAAGAACAAGCTGGGAAAATACGACAATCTGCAAAATCCCACCCACAAGTATTATGTCATTCTCAGGCAAGAGATCCAGCTATGAGCCAACTTCAAGGAGCAACACCAATAAAACTTTCTCGCAAAGAATTACGCCATATCCCTGCTTCTGAGCTTTCATCAAGGCGCTCTGGCCTTGCAGGTTCTATAAATGCTATTCCTGCAGATGCAATTGAAATGTCTAAAAAGACTTAACTGTAGTACATAATCAGCTCAGTCCAATCTTCCGTATTTGCAAGTGTATTTCAGGCAGCTAAGATCATATCAGTTACTTCTAGTTTCTATCCTTCACATTGCAGATGGTTTGATTGTGCTTGTATATTGCTTTATTAGCACAGTATGATGTAATGGGTAGAACTAAAAGAATTCTTTTGCTCTTGAACTAGAAAAAAGTTGTATTTTTGTTGCATTTGTTTCTTTTTTTTAGAATTAGCACAGAATTTTGTTCCCATCTTCTAAACTACATATTAATATTACCTCTTATTCTGCAAAAAATATTTGGATGCATCTACAATCCCCCTTTGTCTGTTTGAGCAGTCTAGATTATACCTGAAATGTTAATCTGAAGAAACATAATGTATAAAAACAGTCATAGAGCCAAAAGTACTTCCTATAATTCTGCCATTGAGCATTTTAGAAGTGCTGCTGATTTCTTAATTTGTGTACACTTTCATTTTGACTGAACAGTTGGGATAGTCTGGAATACCTGTATGCATAAAGAAATGTTTGTATATGGTGCTGCATAGTGATAAGACCTTCATAGAGATACCACTCGCCCTTATCTTAATCCATTATAATTTATGCATATTTAGGATGAAGTGTTTGTAACAAAGCACTTCTAGACATTGGTCCAGACCAGGAGCTTCAAGTATAAATGTTTTTCAAAAGCAAAACACAGTAAAGAAAATAAGATTATTGTCTTCTGTGATGTTTAACAACAAAAATCTCTTTGATAAAATTCATATTTAAAACAAGTCAAAATCAAGTTCTATGCTCCAGAACTTCCTTGAGTATAATGTGACTTTGTGATTTTGCCTGGGAATGTTAGGCTGTGATTTTGCCTGGGGCTTTTTCATGGGTAGCATTATCTGCAGATATATTCCAAGATAACATGATGGTTATTCTTGGAGATGAATCATTCTGCTCTAAAGATTATTCACTGATCATTTACAAATGTAGGCTCATTAAAGCTAGCTGGTTATCCTTCTCTCCATTAATGGCAATTAAAAAATCCTCGCAGTATATAAAGAAGTATGGCTACATACCAGGATGATTGATATTTCTGTGGCACTTACACACAACACAGTTATAGAGTAGAAAAATATTCCTGATGTAAAGTATTATTTTGGGATCAGGCATTAAGGACCATGTAGCCTCTTCATTCGTATGAATCCACATCCTGAATGCAGTGCTCCAGTTGCTCTCTCCTCCCAAATTGTTTTCTTCTACCCAGATGTATCATTACACATGACAACTGTTAATCTTAGGATGAATCTAGAGACACTTCTATCTCCTTAGATTCATGTTTTCTCTTCTTTTAAAAAGGGCTCTGTGTTTACAGAAAATACTGCAGTCCAGCAGAGTAGGATGCTGGGTACTGTTGCCAATTCCACCCTTGCTGCCACTTCCCACAGTGCTCCCCCAACACTTTCGAACGTATTGTTAGGAGCTGCAGTAAAAGTAGATAGTAATCACCTCTTTTCTTGTAGAAGGTACATCTTGTGAGCAGACTTTCTATTTTGGGAACTGTAAGGGTTTGACTGGGCTCCTATTTTCGCTCAAATAAATCAGGAGATTTATGCGGTTTTGAAAGAGGTATAACATTTATTGGGGTGTTCAACTTCTCACACTGCTCCCCAAACACTTTTGAGTGTATTGTTAGGAGCTGCAGTAAAAGTAGATAGAAATCACCTCTTTTCTAGTAGAAGGAACATCTTGTGAGCAGACTTTCTCTTTTGGGAACTGTGAGGGTTTGACTTTGGGCTCCTATTTTTGCTCAAATAAATCAGGAGATTTATGTGGTTTTGAAAGAGGTATAACATTTATTGGGGTGTTCAACAGGTAACCAGTGTCAACAAAATTAGTCCAACGTTTATCTCCTGACAACAGGTTAGCAAGGGGTTTCCAGTCTTCATTCAGGAATGGGTTACCTTCACCTGAGTTCCATGGTCCCGGGCAGTCTAGCAATGGGTTTGGGTTTAGTGTTTGTCCTGTCTCACCCTCCAGTAGGGGGGTGGATGTGTGTGCCTTCCCCTCATCCTCATTCTGCTCACCCTCCATTCAAGTCTCTTCTCTCTCTCTCTCTCTCCCCCTTCTTCTCCTCTCTTAGTCTTCTCCTCCAGTCCTTAGCCCCAGCCTCTCCCCAATACAACAGTCTGGGGGGGAATCTCCTTTTCCTGCAATCGGTCTTCTCTCTTGGGACTCTTAGTCTCTCCCATGCTCCGGTCCTTTTAGTCTTCTCCTCCAATCCTTAGCCCCGGCCTCTCCCCAATACGACAGTCTGGGGGGGGATCTCCTTTTCCTGTAATCGGTCTTCTCTCTCGGGACTCTTAGTCTCTCCCATGCTCCGGTCCAGGGATGCTCCATCCAGACCCAGCCTGGCGGCAACTGTTCTTCTCCCCCTCTTTATATCTGCTACCCCTGCCTCTATCTCCACCCTCTTCTTCTGCTACACTCCTGCCATTTTCCTCTCAATTCTTTCGACTGCCAACTTCCATATTCCTTCTCTCGGGACTCTTAGTCTCTCCCATGCTCCAGTCCAGGGATCCTCCATTCAGACCCAGCCTGGCGGCAACTGTTCTTCCCCCACCCTCTTTATATCTGCTACCCCTGCCTCTATCTCCATCCTCTTCTTCTGCTCCACTCCTGCCATTTTCCTCTCAATTCTTTCGACTGCCAACTTCCATATTCCTTCCTCTATATCTCCTGTGTCTGTCTCTGGCTGTTCCGTTCTCTTAGGGAACGAGATGGCCATGGTCTGTATCTCCTTTTCCTCTGTGAGGGGGAGGGACGGCACTCAGGTGAGAGGGGCACTGCTCTCGCCCCCTGTCTCACATACACCCCCATCCAAGAGGGCTATCTGTTCCTCCTCGCTCTTTGCCCAGGGACCCTGGCAGGAGAAATAATCCACATTAAAATGTTCTTTCCCTTTCCGATATTGAACCATGAAGGCAAAAGGCTGAAGGGCAAAATACCATCTAGTGAGTCTGGGGTTGGTGTCCTTCATTTGCACTAGCCATTGTAATGGCGTGTGGTTGGTTATCAAAGTGAAGGGGGCTCCCAGTAAATAATATCTTAAAGCATGGGTAGCCCATCGAATAGCCAGAGCCTCTTTTTCGATAATTGCATATTTCTGCTCTTGCACGGTCAATTTCCAACTCAGGTAGAGGACGGGGTACTCCATCCCATTATGCACCTGTGCTAAGATCACGCCTAACCCTTGATTGGAATCATCTGTGAACAACATGGATGGGAGGTTAAAGTCTGGAGCAAACCTGGTGAGTAATTCACATAATATTGCCTTAAGCATCTTAAACGCTTTCTCTTGGGCTTCACCCCATTGTACCCATCGCCCAGACTTTTTTTAGGAATATAGGTTAAGGGGGCAGCTATGGTAGATATTGCTGTATGAATTGGCTAGCCCTAGGAATTGCTGGATTTCTTTCTTAGTAGGAGGCCGATACCATTGGGTAATCTTAGTGACTTTTCCTTCCTGTGGTTGAATCTCGTCTCCTCCCACGGAAAAGCCTAAAGATTCTACTTTGGGAGGGCAATTTGCATTCCATCGCCCAGACTTTTTCTAGGAAGATAGGTTAAGGGGGCAGCTATGGTAGAGAATTGGGGTATGAATTGGCTAGCCCTAAGAATTGCTGGACGTCTTTCTTAGTAGGAGGCCGATATCATTGGGTAATCTTAGTGACTTTTCCTTCCTGTGGTTGAATCTCGTCTCCTCCCACGGAAAAGCCTAAAGATTCTACTTTGGGAGGGCAATTTGCATTTATGGGGATTGGTGGTTGTGGTGTTTGCCCTTGTG